GTTTTTTTTCTTAACAACATCCCCTCTCTGCCTGTATCCCCCAGTCCCCATTGGCTTTGGAGCATTCCCAATGAGCACAGTGCTTCCATAACTCTATATTTTATTTTGCTGAATATGCATTTTATTAGGAATCACATTTAATTGAAATAGCTTCTGATTTGAGGAAAAGAGTGGCTTTATGAGATGAGAGTAAAAAGTGTGTGACACTTCTAATGAAATTAAAAGCAAAATTAAATGTCTTTAGAAATTTATGTTGCATCACTGCAGAGCATGTGCCAAACCTGTCTTGATTTACCTGAAAGTGCTGTATCAGAGACAGAACTCCCAACTGGAGAGTATATCCTATCTTGGATGGCTGCTTTGAAATCACTTACTTGGAGTAATATTAATTCAAATTCCTGATAAATTACTCACTGTGATATAACATGCGGTTTTAAAACTTTTACAGCCTTTTCATTAATAGATGATAGTGAAAATTAGAGCTAGTATTTTTTGTGTAGACTTCTTAATCATGCCATTTAAAGTAGAAGCTAAGCAATAAACATCTAATTAATAGCTTATGGTAAGTTTAATCTCAGAAGCTATGTTGCTGTTGGCACAGATCAACATAACCATCTATCACTAAATTCTCAAAATTTAAAAACCAAAGCTATGACTTATACATGCTACTCATTCTCAATGTACATTGCATATGAGTAGTTTATTTCATTTTAGGATACTTGAAACCTAAATCAATATCTATTAGACATAAAAATATGTTCATTTCTATAGGAGGATGTATTTTGAAATTAAACCATTCTTCTGTATTTTGTAGCTTATAAGAATTGTTGTCTTTTAAAAGACCTGAAAGAAGTCATTGTCATGGGTAATTATTAAAGGAATTTCTTAAGGTAATTATATTTGAGGAAGTCATCTGCAAAATATATTTGAGTTTTGTTCCACAGAGATGGGCTCCTTGGCTTTTTTCCCCAAAGTGGTTTCCAAATTAATCTATGGAAATAGTGAAAGAAAGTATAATACTCTGGTGGTGCCCACAATCATCAGTGCTGTGCAGAGCTGCAGGTTTTACTCGACTGTGTATGTTGTGCTTCTGTGCCACGAGTCACAAACTCAACATGGGCTCAATTCACTTCTCTGTCCTTACTCATAGCCCCATCTCTTTCTTTACCAACAGAGTACCACAATTGATTTCTACTGAAATAAAGTATCCTTATACTCTGATTTGCAGCCATTAATGATAATGCATTTATATCTACTGTTAATGAAATTGAGCCAATTATGTAAAACTGTAAAGATATAATTCATAGGTTCTGCATTACTGTACAGATAGCATCTATATGTGAAATCCAAAGTTCATAGTACTTTGAAAAGGGATGCATTATGCACTCACATCCTCTATTGGGGAACTTGAGTCTGGCCCTTTCAACATCTGGAGAAATCAAACAACAACTTATGTGGCAAGAATGTGAATTTATGTAGCAGAATAAGCATGGAATTCAGACAAGCAAGATTGCAGGTGCCCAAATAATTCTCCTCACCAATGAACTCTTCCCCTGCTCAGATAACCAGTGTGTTTGGGAGACTGGAGGTCTCAGGTTTCCTTTCTTGCATATCCAAGTGGTTTATTTCTGTTTAGTTGTATGTATTCATTATTATTTATAATATGTACTCCAGAACTTTCTTCTCAGTAATTTTGCACTTACTGGCTAACCTATCTGAATTTATTTGTTAAATTTACTAAATGTCTGACTAGCCATAAGCTGTGAAAAGCCAACTAGGGAACTGAAATGAATAGGAAGAAAACACCCTCACTAATTTCACTTCTGACAGTTCAACTGACCCAAGAGCATTTACATTATTTTCCCATTTAAGCAGTTAACTTCTGAGTTGTTCTTAAACACCAGGGACTTCTAGCTAGAACAGCCACTTTGGTCAGCAATCCAGGATTTAGGCAGATAGTATATTATTTGTGTAGTGGAAATACAAGCAATTTTTATATTGTATATGTGATTTACTATTTTCTGTGCCAGTTTTATTTCAGATTTAATTCTGGGACATGCTGTGCTACGTAGTCCTTTTGGATTTCTACAACTGTTGCGCTTGGAGCCATGCTCCTGCTGCAGAATTCCAACAGGAGCAAACATATGGGGATTCTTCCGTCCTTGGCTTGCCCCACCATTTGTTCCATGTTTTAAACCAACTGGTGCTGTACCCAGTGGAGTACATCTGTTACAGTTTATTGCTAGAAATTTGCAATTCATTTCAGTTTGCTAAAATAATTATAATATTCATGGCCAAGCATTAAGCAATTATAAAAGAGAGTAGACAAAATTTTGCTGAAGTTTTTATGTGATTCAGAACCTACTGCCCAGCTTGGGTAATTTGGGTGCTCAACAGCCAGATAATGCTCTGACAGTTGAGTTTGATCATCCTGAGAAATTCAAGTATCCACTGAGATACCCCTTATGTGGATGTCCCTGCTCTGTTTTAATTAAGGGCAAAATAAATTGGCATAAATAACCACTGAATGCATTTGGTTGCCACATCTTGCCTGAGGTACTCATCTGGAGAACATCCTGAACTGGAGCAGAGTCTTTGCTGATGGAATTGCAGGGGCACATTCAATAACACCCTGTAACTCTTTTTGAAAGTCAACAGCGTGTAGACTGCTAAATAGTCTATATGTTTTTTGGATATTATACCTTACTTTTTGTCTCTGTGCTTCAGGCAAGCTGGGAGTTACTGTGTTGGGCTATGTTGCTGTTTTCAGGTAGTGTTTTCAAAGCAGTAAGGGTTCTAGTTTGTGGAAAATTGCATTACCAATCAATCCAGAGTGAGGCATTAAATAGTTGAATAAAAGGTGACTCCTTCACATTTAAAATAGAAAGTCCCCATAATCAGAGCAATAAAATCTTAATACAAGAGATGACTGTTTCATCATTATCACCCTCTGAAGCAGATTTTTAAAATTAGGAAGGATCACAATAATAATATTCATAACCCCATCACACTCATCATGTTTCTGTAAGTGAGTCTGGCACATCTTTGACATAAAGTAACAGAATAAATACACACTATTCACCACAGTGGAGCCAAGGCATTTTTACAGGTAAACTTGCAAACTAATTCCAGAAGTTACAACCAACAATGTGCCTGTTTTTGTTCTCCATCACAGACCTGTGTCTGGATCTGTCTCTTGGATCTTTCACACTCATCCCTTAAAATAAGCGAGGTCACTTTTGCTATAGAAATCTGTTACTTGCCTGGTTTGAAAAGAGTTTTGTTTCCAAAAATCGGATTTAATTTGTTGAGTTACACTAGGGTAGTGAAAGACATTGCAATATTTATTCTGCCTGTGTTGTGAGACCACCACTGTGATTTAAAAGAATGGCTACATTCCTGAGATTTGTATCCTTGCAAATAAAGGCATTCTAAGAGAAATGAGTTAACTCATCAGCTCACTAGGCTGAGAAGGAGATTATTTTGATGGGGAAGTCAAGGTTTATACTGAAATGATAAAACATTCAGAAAGAACACAGATATTTTAAAATAGTTTTGCTGTTTTGCTCTACAAGTATTACTTGAAGTGATACAATGAAGCAGAATTATGTGTTTCTATATGCTGTAGATTAAAAATATCTGGGAATGGAAACCATTATTAAAGCTACTAAATATAATTCTGTTTTCTAGTAATCCCAGAAATGTCTTTAAATATTCATCATCTAAGTGGTGTGGACAATACAAATTTAAGCAAATTAGGATGGAGTTGGGCTATAATGTTGAATAATTGCATTTGGTTTTACACAGCACTGTAAATAAGTGTGTAAAGTGTGATCTAAGGCTTTGAACCTTTATAGAAATTTTAGTCTATATTTTAATGTTTTTTGTTCTTTTTCTACAGAACATTCTGGCTTTAAATCCCCGAAAACAAACACATGCAACGCTTCACTCAACTGCAGCAAAGAAACAAGTCAAGAAGCAATGGAAAAGGAATTCTGACAAAAACTGTTCAGTAAGTGCACATTTATCATTGCATCTGGAACGTGTTTATCGTCGCATCTGGAACAACCATTGAGGCTGAAATCACAGCTGTGAGAGAAATAAATTAGAGTTTTTTGTGTTATTCAGTAGCCACATTTGGCTTCTAGATTGTTCATGTAGATAAGGGAGCTATTTTGTGATGAGCTGTTTACTTTTCAGAACCTATTGCATTCCATACGTTTTTCATTTTTGGTGATTTTAGTAAGTGTTTGATACAACTTTTGTGCCTTTTGTTATGGAGTCTGATCCCTCTCAAGTATCACATCCTGAGCTATGCTGAGCCCCTTGATTCCCCTGGGTAGCCTCTTCTGCCACTTCCTCCTTTCTGTTTTCCAAGAGTCACATTGGCCAGAGCAGCACTTCACTATCCTTTCTGAGACACTTACAGCTAATTTTATTTTGCTACAGAAATAGAGGAACCTGTCATATGTACCTACTTTTTATAAATACATAAAGCTTGGATTAACACATGACTCCGGATTTTAAATTTTGTGCATTTTATTTTTCAGGAAATAGTTGATTTTGAAATAAATACTTTTCTTACTGTAAACTGTCTATACTCTTCTGTATTTCTGCCATTAGATATCACCATTTTCTCTCGAGGTATCTGAATTCCTACTCTCAGTGTGATATTTGACTAATCCCACCAGACTTTTTTTGTCTCTTTGATCTCTCATCTGATTAAAAGGTTTGTAGTGTTTTTACTATTTTCCTACAGGTTGTCTTACATAATCCTCTAAATTCAGAAACCTCTTAGGTAGAGTACTAGTTACCTTATGGGTTTAATGATATTGGTGTCTTTTCATAGTGTTGTCAAAACACCTTCTCCCACTAAAAAGGAAAATTCAGGTAGGAAGTTGGTTTTGTTTTAATAAAAACTATGTCATCCAAAACCCAACAAAACACAAACCCAACCAAAAATGCCACAAAGTTCTTCAGTTCCTTAAAAATTGCGAAATCCAGTATGAACAACAAATATTTGCTGGGAGGACCAACCCAGTATATCCTTAGCATTTCAGCAATGCTCTTAGTACAGTTTCCTGTTTTATAATACTGATTATACGAATCTTTTTCTTGCTATAGCTGGTATTCCTATTTTCTTGTATTTATTGGCTTAGATAATGTTATGTGAACTAGAAGTTTATGTACATGAAAACCTTCTGTTTGTGAACTTGGATGATTATTTTGGGATGTCTGATATTGCCCACAACTGTCTGTTTCTGCTGCAGAGAATGTTGGGCTGCTTAGTAAGTGGCTCCTGGGCAGCTGCAGTTTACATTGCCATGTTTTCAGGTGTCCTGAAATCAGTACCGGGCTGTAAACTCCTCTGTTTTCAGAAACTGTTTGTTGGGAACCTCCTGTATCCATGCAGCAGGACAGCTGGGTATCTGTGTGGTAACCTAATTAGCTGTTCTAATGTAAATTATCCTGGTTAGTTACACTGTAACGTTCACAGAAATATTTTGCTAATGGGTGTGTTAACACACATTTCCTAAAGCATTTAGGCTTTTAAATCACTCTGTTATCCCTGAGCTGTTCTTCATGTCAGCCTTGCTTGGTTTTTGTATTCAGTTTACTCAAAGAGTTTGATATTTGCTGATTTTCAAAGTGCATAGTTTTCTAGAAATTGTCTCTTCCCATGTTTGTGCTGTTAGCTGCATGTGTGTACCTCATGGTGTCTGAAATATTCCTGGATTCACAAGGTCTGAGCTTCTTGGGCTGTGCAAACACCACAGATTTGGGTGCATTGCCAGCTTGTGTGCCTTGTCTGGATTTTCAGTTGAAAGAAATTCTGAACTTTGTCAAATATTGCAGGATGATGTTTTGGCATAGGTTTACCATCTAATAACTTGGTGTTACAGTTCTGCAATAGTGCTTGGAGATCTGTGCAGTTGTTAGCACTCTGCCCTGACAGGAATCTTCTCATGGGGTACAGGTTACAGGATTAAAAGTTTGAAAGAAACAAATGTGTACATGGGCAGATATCACTACTTTCATCACAGATGGTTTTAATACTTATGCATTGTTATGTATTATTTGGTAGAAACATCACATAATTTGGCTTGCAAGCTATTATAATGTATAGTGCTGGAAGGAACTGTAAAGGGCTAGTCCTTATTTTCAGATGGATAATGATCCTAGATTTTAAAACTGACAAACTTTTCTTCACTCAGAGATATGTAGCTTACTCTTACTGTGCAAGATTTACAACATAGCTTACTTTTAGTTTACTATAGCAGAAAAAACCCTGAGAAAAGAAAAGCATCAAATATTTGTCTGGTCTCCCATTACATAAAAGACATCAGTAAAAAATAAGAGACCTTTTACATTCTCCAGATCATTGTTGTTGAATGGTTTTAATAAAAATCAAAATAAAATGGTTGAATCCTTTCCTTGCCTCCTTAAATGGAGAAAGCTAATGCAGGAAAGGATTCATTGAAAACCGTTTTTTATTTTGGTCTAAAGAGCCACTGGTGATAATGTTTAGGCCTGCTAATGAATAGATAAAGCTCCATTTGAAGTCCATATCAACTTTATTTGTTTCCATTTCCTTAAAATCTGAATTTGGCTTTTAGCTTTGTATTCTTTTAAAGCTGTTCTGATGCTGCCTTTACAGAACTACTGTTGAAAGGAAGGTGGGAGTATGAAAATACAAAACTAATTAAATTAACAGCCATCAAAACTCTGAACAAAAGATGCATCTGCTGAGGCATGCACACAGTGACTTTGTAATGTCTAATACACTTCCAGATGGCAGACTTACATATTTCTTCAGAATAATCACACAAGTGAAATTTTAACTCCTAGCCTGCTCTGAGACTTTGAGTTACCCATTTAATGAGTTCTGAAGTGGAAACAGAATGTTAATATCTTTCCTCAGCGTTGGAAAATTCTCCTAAAGGAAGGTTCAATTATGCTTTCAATGAGTGCTATTGTTTATTTACTATGTTAGCAACCAAGTGTTGCTGTAAAAATTGTTTATAGCTGTAGGTGCAAGTTTAGTCAGCTTTCCGTCAGAAATTTTAACTGAGAGTAGGAAAACTCTTTATTGCTGTGTCACCCTCAGTAACAGTTAGACCTAAGCATTAACACTCCTGTTGCTTTTGAGTCATGCTGAAAAGGGGTGTAAACAGATGCCTCTAGTTATCTGGGGGACAAAGATTCCTGTTTTCCAGAAAAATTAAAAGTAGAGGAGTTTCGAAATGGCTGCTCTAATAGTAAGCCTTAAAGAAGAGTGCAAAATTTAGGCCACATTAGTTCATTAATTTACAGAAAAAAACAAAACAAACTGTGAGGATTTGCTTTGATTTCAGGTCTTTCCTAAGTAGTTCAGGATTGTTTAGAATTCGGATTAATATTTTTATTTGTGGTTTCCCACTCCTTATAATTCAATTTCTGTGTGTATTTTGTGCTTACCTACGTTTAGATCACCAACTAGGGGGCACACATTGTGTGCATTTGCACTGCACCCAGCACACTGATTTCCCTGCTTTATGAATAGGGTTTCTAAGCATTATGGGCCGAGTTTTATTTTACCTTGTGCATGTGCAGGTTTGTAATTTAAATGAAATTCACCTGCACAACTTTCATAAATTGACTTGTTGCTCGGGAATTCAGTGGGATATTTTAGTCCAGCCTTCTTTTTGGTAATGAAATCTTGTAGTTACCTACTAAAGATAGGTGAGAAGTTGATAAAGATCCACCTATGTATTCAGACTTGCTTGAGTTTCTGCATTTAGAAATAATTGTAACATTTGCTCCAGATGGAAATGCTGGAGGTATTTCAACACAACAAGAAGGTGAAAAGGAAATGGGATTTAAATTGGTTTGTAGCTAATTGCCATAGCCTGTAACAGTATTGATTTTCTGGCAGTAGTACCATTGTTCTTTGTCCTTACATGTGCTAAGCCTGATCAGCATTGTACAAAAAGAGCCTCTCTTCTGTGAACAAAATAATTTTGATGCTCACCTGTTTTTGTTTTTGGAATTTTTTTTTGTTTTTTGTTTTTTGTTTTTTTTTTTTTTTTTTTTTTTTTTTTTTTTGTTTTGTTTTTTATGTTGGCAAGGGCTCACTTTGGGCAAGTATTATAACTGTACTATAATTCTTTCCAGCTATTAGAGAAAACCAAATACTTCACCTTGTCTTTTTCTATGCGAAATTAAGTTGCAACTACCAGATTGCTTTGTGCTAATGATGGAGTGTGAGAGCTGCAATTCATTGCAAGATCTAACAGCTCATGTTGCTCTTTACCTTCAGAGGACAAGGGTCCCTTAAAACACTTGTAATATGAGCTTGCTAAAACTTCAAACTGCTTTTCACTTGGATACTATTTCTGTGGCTGTCACTGCTACATATAAACATCTGTATAAAGAAATTACTTTTAAAAAGGTATGTAAGTACCTCTTGATGTACAAATGTCCAAGATTGCATAGAAATACCTGTAAACAAGATGATCTTTTTCAGCTATAATCAGTGTGTTACTCTACGTATTGCCTTGCAGTGAGGTGGAAAAAGTTCACATGATTTTTGTGCCCAATCATGTATCATGCTTACAGAATAATCAAGTTAGCATTTCACAAATAACTGATGGATTGAAGCAGAAATAGTGCAAATTGCAAACAAGTAGATATGAAACGCAGTACCCTGAAGGCCTGAAATCAGGAACCTTAATGAATAAATGCTTTTTCAGTGAATAATTTGTCTATTTCTAGACATGTATTGATGAAAGATTCTATATTTATAAATAAAAAATAATTCCAAATATTGTAAAATAGAGAACACTCATTAAAGGAAATCAACTCAATTATATTTATAATCTAAACGTATAGTTTACCTTTGCAAATATTTATTTTTGTCTTCATTGCATATGAATATGCAAGTTTAGCTCTTTTCTGAATGGGTATACAATGGCAGATGTCTCTCTAATCGCTGCTCTATTCAAACATTAATTGGTAGAACATATGTAGAATTCTACTAGTCTGAATAGGTATAGGATAGCGGCAGTCTTTTTAATCACATCACTATTCAACCACTAATTGGTGTGATGATTAAGGGACATTAGAGGGAGCACTTTGACATCTGATTCTTTGAACTGATGTCTGCTCGAGCTGCGCTGTATTCATCATGGCCAGACTGATTTCTTAAATAAAACGCTCTGATTCCCAAATGTGGAAAATATTGCGTTAGGATCTATTGAAGTGATTAGGGAATTTGAGAATGATTCTTTTATTTAACTAGTGATTGACTGTATATGCACAAACTATTCATATGAATAATACATGTGTTGCTGAGTATCAGAAAGAGCTGAGAAGTAACATCAAGAGATTTTCTTTTTTCTCATAGTGTCAATAATTAAATATTAATACGCATTTTAAAATGTACCAGTTTAATCATTTAGCAGTCAAATTCCTACTCATGCATTTTTTAGATTAACTAATTACTCTGCATTTTCTCTTATCGATAGCATATGCTGGCATTTATAACCCTTTCACTGGAATAAAGTGGTTTACATGTTTATATATGATATCGCTTATACTTGCACTAAGAAATGCATATGATGAATTTCCTTGAATTTTATGTTTTATATTAGTTTCAATATCTTAAGGTGTTTTCATTAGAATATTTCAATAGCTCCTAACTTGCCTGGATGCAACAAATTATGTGGTTTTATGCACATTTTCTCTGTATTAAATTGCAAATACCTGCTGAAGGCAAGTTGTGCCAAATGCTTTCTTAGTACTGAGTAAAAGGTTCCTTCTCACCCCATGGCTCTTCTGGAGTGCTGGGTGAAACCACCTCTAGCCTTTTAACTGCTATTGTTCAGAGTTTTTCAGGTTTGGTGTTTCTCTTATTTGACGTTGGATGATTCCTCTTCTGTAGAGCAGCATCCACCATTTAGTGAGCAGCATTTAGTTCCGAGTGCATTTCTGATCTTAACCACTTCAAAACGGAAGTGTTTCAGAGTTGCAAATTGTTTAGCTTTGCACATAATTATATGACAAAATGAAAAATGCTTGTCTGCTTTAAGTGCTGAATTCCAGGTAAGTCCAGCTCATTCCCTTTGAGCAAATCAGAATAGAGATAGGATCAGAAACCATCTTCACTGTCAACTTTCAACTTCTGCATAGTATTCTATCCTTTCAGACGTAGATTTCTGTATACTTTCCTGTGGTTACTAGTTGGAGAAAAAGGTCCCTTCTTTTCTGTTTTCCAAAAAAAACCCCAGCATAAAATATCAAGACTATCTTCTCTTTCTTCAGACCTATTCCCACAATTTTTTTTTGTAAGCTATTGCCTATGCTGAAAGCAAGATTGCTCTTTCCTCTACTCGTGAAGGCCTCTCCATTCTGTTTAGAAATAGTCATGAGCTCTAGGGTGAGAAATTTTAAGTGCTTGTATGTTGTTTCTTGGAGAATCCTGTGCCATTGTTAGCCTGTTAGTAATGACTCACTCCAGATTTATTTGTAGTATCTAAGTTCTGGGTGAAACCTGCTCAGTAGAAGGAAAAGGAGCTGGGAGACCAATTTTAGTGTGAAGGAAGCAGGATAGCTTGCTGAATGCTGTATTTTAAGCAGGGCTTGTAGCACTATCCAATATTATATTGCACTGAAGTGTTCATTACAAGACCCTGCTTGTAGTTTGTCTGCAACTTTGCCATATATTTGGACAAAACTTTTGAGTACCAGTCCATTACTTCTTTTACACATATCAGAAATGCAGTCATATATGCATATAAAAAGATTTGCTTGATTTAAGTATGAATGAACAGGGCTGGCAGAAAAAGCAGTGTCTTTTAAAAAATCATGATAGTGTTATATTTAAAAAAAACCTGACATCCTCATGCTTTGAAGCAAGGAAGTGTAACAGACTGGAGATGGCAAAAGTATATAAATGCAACAGAACTCTCCAGAAGCTTTAAAAACCTTCTCTTGGTCAGTTTCTGTGGCATTTTTATCACGATGTACAATTCTCAGGTGCAGAGGAGGTAACTGCCTCATCACTTGCAATATTCAGTATTCTTTAGTTACAGTACTGTCCTGGTTTCAGGAACTCCTACATTTTTGGTGGTGAATCTCAGGAATGATGAGATTTTCGTAATGATTTCTTTGGTTTTTTTATAAACTGATTCATTATTTGAATATAGTGTTGAAAATAGACAGTTTCCCACTGAGAATCAGTGATCAGAAATAATCTTTTGGGGATTCTTCAGTAAGCAGAGTTGCTAGGGACTCCTTGTTGAGGCATATTCCCTCACAAGTCTTTCTGGCTGTGTCCCTGTTCCAGCTGTCTTCAGAAAGTTACATGTATGTCTTTTCTGCATTTATTTCTTCTATCCTCAGTCACTCCTGGTTCATCAGCAATTATCTGGAACAATCACTCAGCAGAACTTTCTTTTCTCCTCTACTGCTGAGAACAGGACTACAATCTACTTTTGCTTAATTGCTAACTGAACTGGGAGATGTTTTCATCTGTAAAGCTAAGGATCCTGCCACATGTATTCCTTTTGAAAATCGTCATTTTGTAATTAATATCTTTGTTTTTCTCCTTAAAAAATAAGTTGAAGTAGTGTTCATGTAGCATGTAAGTGGAATCAAGTAAATAAATTAAGAAGCATCCAAATGAATTTCTGTATAGGTGCTTTAAAGGATACGCTCTATTCAGAAAGGAATGGTAAAGGTTTTTGTTAATAATGCAACAGATGGTAAAAAATAGCAAGTGTAAAACTAAACCTTTATGATCAAAATCACTTAAGGAGAGGATAAGAAACTAATTTATTGTATGCTAAGAATATGCTATAGCATTTCCACACAGCAGGTTTAATTTGGCAATTACTGTAAATAGAAATCAATGTAATCATAGAATCATAAAAATAAAGATTTGGGAGAGTTAATTAAGAGAATTTCTGGATTGAAATCCAGCTAGAAATTTTTTACAGGTATTTGAATAACCCATTTCAAATGGCACATGATGTAGGAGACTTCTCATTCTTGTTAGTGTTTAATCAATGCAGCAAAGTTTTTCCTAAAATATACTGTGTATTTGTTGAAGATCAAATTATCATCTTGTCCTACTACTTGAAGAACAATTGATGATTGTTGACTTTTTGTATAAATTCTGTTTTAAAATCCTTAATATATCTCTATATATGTCTGTCTGTGGATGCCCCATCCTTGGAAGTATTCAAGGCCAGGTTGGGGGTTTTTGGGACTAGATTATCTTTAAGTTCCCTTCCAACCCGAACCATTTATGACTCTTTTATATTAGAAGATTCCTGTTAGATATGCTTCCAGTTCTCTATTTTCCTTCAAGTCTTCTTTGCTAGTCATGTTTTCTGAAACTGATAATTTTTTTTTCTTTTCTTTAGATTTTAATTTCCTACATCTTTCTCTAATCATGATGATGAAAAACTGCGCAATCTTTCACCTGGGACCTAGTTAGCACCAATTAGATTGTAATAATTTATTTGCCTCACCACAGAAGAATCAGCCGTGTGCTGTTCCTTCTGCCAAAGTGTGGGTTATCCTGTATTTATGGCCCAAATTCTGACCTGTTAGTTTGGTTTGATTTTGAAATTCTCTTCTTGCCTTTTGAAGTGTTTAGTATCTCTTCCTTGCCTGTTTCACTTATTCCACCAAATATTGTGACAGTAGAAACCATTAGCACATTAATTTTTTCCAATTAACCAAGTCACTGAGGTCTTGGGTGAATCATGAATCATCGTGATTCGGTTATTTTTTGGTGATAGAAAACAACATGGGGTTATTTTTCAGTCAGTTGAACAGTCACTAGTCTATATTTTTAGTTGGAATAATTGGGGGAAAAAAAAAAAAAAGCTTATTCTAGATTTGCCACATCTACCCTGCCAGTTATTCTTTTGTTCATTCATCCTCTGAAAGACAAAAAATAAGGTTGATTTAACATTGGATTTACATGCCCAGGTTGACGCTTTTTATATCACAATATAAGTTTTAATATGTCCTCCATTTTCTCTGCCTGAGGGTATGATTTCTATTTTTACTTCTTTTTTTCTTTTTTTTTTTCCTTTTCTTTTTTGGTTGTTTTTTTGTCTTTGTTTCTCCTCCCCTCAAATCCACCTCTGTAAAGGGAAGCTTTATGTCTTCTCTTCTGACCTTTTGGAACCACAAGACTTTTAGTGGGTGCAATTGGTAGTGGTCCATGCATTGCTTCAGTTAGTTCCTCAATGACACAGTCATACATGAGCTGCATCAGCTGATTAAAAAAATTAATTACCAAACCTCTCTTTTTCCATGCTCAAGCCTGCAATCTCATTTTCTTGCTAAAAGTATATTTTTTTTAGTTGTAGTTATGGCTATACCAAGCTATCTTCATAAAGAGAGCAGGGAGGGCTGTTTGATTCTGCATCACTTATTTGCTTTGTTTTACATAATCTGTACTTCTCTTCATTTTCTTCTCACTTCTCATGTATATAGAACAGTTTTCTTACTATCATTTTACAATTTCTTCCTCTTACTTTTTAACTTTAATTTGCATAACTTTCTGGTTTTATCCCCACAGTGTTTATGTAGTTCATTTATACTTAGAAATTGATCTACTCTAGGTATGTGTCATAGTTTCCCTGCTTTTATAATGTTGATTTCCAGGCCATTGGGGGGAGGCATGGTATGATCATAAAGATGTGCTACGAGCACTCTTTTGGGTGAGTGTTTTGTTTGTTTCTTATTTGTTTTTTGTTTGTTTGTGGTTTTGTGGGGGTTTGTTTTTTTTTTTCTTTTCTTTTACTTTGCTTAGGAATAGTTCCCCTTTGTGAATTTCTGTAGAGTTTGCCCTTTCTCCTGCTTTCCGTTACTGGTCAGTATAACTCTCAGGAGACATACCAAAAATTATATTTTCTGAAGTTCACCATCCTCATTCTTTTACCCTCACCACTTTCTGTACTTGGAATTGATTGTAATCTATTACAGAAGTAAGTCATTGATTGTAGACACTTTGACTTTTTAAATGCAGCCTGTAAACCACAGATCCTAATAATGGTAGTGTGCAACTAATCTTTGATGTGATAACTGACAAACTTTGTTAGTAACAAATTTAATCAGAAACACTAATATTGAATTTAAAAACAGTATTAATTCTTACCAATTCTGGTATGAATCTGAATGGGCTTTATCTTTACATTTAGCAAATGGATGAAGTAATAGAATGAACAGAGAGTATAATTTTCATCAATTTTTTTAAAGTTAGTTCAATATAAATTGTATAGAGGAATTGCCAAAATTTGTTTTTTAGACAAAGTCAGAAGTTAAGAGAACTGTTTAGATCTCTGGACTATGCTAAACAGTTCAAAAATACTAATTTTGAGAAGATTATTATTAATTGAAATATAAAAAAGTTTTTTGGAATTTGAATCCCAATTTGTAAAGAATAATTTCACACTGAACTGTAAAACAACTTCAAAAAGAATATTAAGACTATGAGGATTACCTATAAGGAGTTGAAAAAAAATGGGATTGATTGGCAAAGCAGGAAATACAGAGGAAAAATGAGAACTTTCAAAAGTCAAGTTGAGTCACTCTGGGTGGAAGAAATTAAAACAAATAGTAAAAGGTTATTCGGCTATATAAAACAAATAGTAGAAGATTCTTAAGCTATCTAAACTAAAAGAAATAAAAGAACAAGCAAAGCAAGTGTGAAGATAGGATTAAACATTTTAGGTATTGTCTGAAGTCTTTGTAAATTGTTGTCCTAGTTTCAGTAAAATGGGAATAAAGCAAGAGGTGGCTAAATGGGCAGAAAAGTGCAGCAGTGGAAATTACCCCAGACAGGCCAGAAGGAAAACTTGGAGTATTTTATGTTTGAAGTCAAAGGGTCAGAACAACATCCATAAAAGTATCACAGAAAAATTGACATGTGAAATTACAAGCTTTGTAGTAGAGCAAGTCCTTGATTAAAGAATAGCCAATGCAGTTTGTGTGTGTTAAAACATGG